CATGGCAAGATTACTAACCCTCCATTTCCTCATCTGAGAAATAGGGAATATTAATGCTTTCATAATCTACCTTAAAAAGTTGGCATGAGGAAAACCACTTCATAAGTGATAAAATGATATATAAATTGGGTTATTTTCATTACTAGTACCACTAATAATAGTAGTAGTAATAGTATAGACTATCTCTGCTTTCCCCTCAAAATTTTGTCCCTTGAAATTTTTCTAAGTATGTTTTTCTGACATTCCAGTTTTGCTTTAAAAAAAAGTTTTTGTTCTATGTATACATAATTATTCTGAGTCATAGCATTCAAGGGAAAAAAACCCACAAATTTAATATCTTCATTGAATAGGTTGTACATTCCAAGTCAGCATTTAAAATTTTTCCCCCCTACCCCACTCCTTACCTGTCTTAATCTCTCCTTCACTACTGGCTGCTTTCCTGCTGCCTACAAATATACTCAGGTTTCCCTTATCCTAAAAAAAAAAACAAAAAACTGTTCCTTTGACCTTGATACCCTCATGCTATGATACTTATTTAGTCCTTTTAAATGGTAAATGTAGGAGTTGTCCTTTCTCCTACTTCTACTTTCTTTTCAAATTTAAGATTACTTTTTTCAAGTATCAAGCTTTTACTTTTTCTCCTTTCCACCTTGACTATCCCCCTCCTCAACAAAATTTAAAACCCTTCTAACAAATAAGCATAATCAAAACAAATTCCCATATTAGCTATATCTGAACTGTATATTTATTTCTGCATATTAATCCATCACCTCTGTGTCAGGAGGTAGGTAACATTCTTCATCTATTTTCTGTATTCATGCTTAATCATTACATTGATTTTGTACATATGAGTCCTTTTTCTCTGACTTTTCTTTGGTATGTAGGCTTAGTAGTGGTATTGCTGGGTCAAAGGATTTGCAGTTTCGTGTTATTTGAGGGATAGTTCCATATTGTTTTCCAGAATGACTGTACCAGTTCACTAACAGTGCATCAATGTTCATGTTTTCCTGAAGCCCCTCATACATAATATAATTTTCCCTTTTTTTGTCAACTTTGCCAATTTGATGGGTGTAAAGTAGAACGTAAAAATTGTTTTAATTTGCATTTCTCTGTTAGTGATTTTGGAGCATTTCTTCATATGGCTATAGGCAACTTGGATGTCTTCGCTTGAGAATTGCTTTCTCCTGTCCTTTGGCCCTCTATTTTTTAACATCATCTGCTCCTCAACCCCTTGCAGTATGGCTTTCAGCCCTAACAAGCTGCATATCTAATTCTCTCCAAAGTTTTCAGTGACCTCCATGGATAAAATACTACTTTAAGATATTTAATTGATACTTTTAAAAAATAAGAACAATGCATATCCCAGTGACTTTCCTTTTCCCCCACTCCAAAACAAAACAGAACAAAACAATGACTTTTTCTCAGGTCTCATCCTTCTCGATATTATTTGCCACTTTGTATTGCATGATATTTTCTTCTTTGGCTTCTATGGTACTATCCTCTCCTGTGTCTTTTTCTGCTTGTCTTGTCATTCCTTCTCAGTTTCTTTTGTTGGTTTCTTCTCCTTCAGCCTCCAAAGTATGGATGTCTCTCAAGGCTTTGACTTTGTCCTTCTCTTTAATTTCTTTGACTGTCTGATCCACTTCCATGACTTTACTTGTAAATTACTTTGTAGATAACTACAGAATCTATACATCTTGCACCAGTGTATGTTTCGAGTTTAGTCTTGCATCTCATCTCCATCCGCCTTCTTGGAATCTCTACTTGGAAGTCTTGTTAGCACTACAATCTTGACTTTTCTAAAGCTAAACTCATTACCTTTGCCCCAAATTTGCCCTTTCTCCCAGTGTATTTTGATGGAACATTATCACTTGGCCTTAAAAACTGAGTAGCTTTTTACTTTCTCTTTTGCTTATACCTCACATCAAAGCAGGGTCAAGTCTTCTCTGTTCTAGAACTTCTGTAGCATTACTATTTTGCCACTTCCTTGATCTTTATACAGGTCCCACTTAGTTTTAGTTCCTTATCACTTCTCATGTGGAGTATTGTAATAATCTACTAACTTATCTCAGTGCATCAATTTTTTCTCCCTTCCAGTCTTGGCCATGTTACTTGGAATTTAAATTCCTCTATAATCTGGCTTCTAGGGTTGTAATGTAAAAAACATTAAATTTGGGGTCAGAGGACCTGAGCTTTAAGTCTGACCTCTAATACTTTTAAGACCTGTTTTCCTTTGGGTCATTCACTTCATCACTGTGAGCCTCTTTTCCCTCACCTGTTTATTCATTCCATCAGCATTTATTAAGTGCCAAATATTGTGCTAAGCCATTTTACTTGAACTCTCTTTTCTTCATCTCAAATCCCCTGGTCATTACTACCCACTCGGCTTCTTTTATCCAGTCTCTGACGAGAAGGGCCTTTCTCCTTGCCAAGCCACCCCCATTTGTACATTAATTCCATCCTCTCCTGTCTTCTCCAGCAGATTGCATCCTCAGTCCCTGTCTTGAATCTTCAACCTTTTCCTATCAGCTACCTTCAAACAGGCCAAACCTTTCTTATCTTCAGAATACCTTCGCTAGTACACCCTACTATCCCCTCAAAGTATTGTCCTAGATCTCTTTTCCCTCTCTCAGACAAACTCATAGAAAAATCCTTCTATACTCACTCATCAACCTTTGCAGTCTGGCATTTGGCCTCATCATTCAATTGAAACTGCTCTCTCCATAGTTACCAACAGTCTGTTAATTGCCAAATCTGATGAGCTCTTCTCAACCCTGTCTGTTGGCAGCGATACTGTTGGCCACTCTCCTCCTGGATATGCTCTGCTTTCTGTGTTCTTCTAACACTGCTCTCTCTTATTTTGCCTCCAACCTATTTGACCATTCTTTGTCAATCTCCTAGGTCCTTTTTTCTTCTTCCTAAACTTTTTTCTTCTCTCTAAACTTTCTCTTGATGTGTAGTACCTTTGTATTGACTATTCTCCATGCCTGAAGAGTACTCCCTTCTTACCTCTACCTCATAGTCCCTATCATCCTTTAAGGCACAATTGAAACATCATTTCCTACATGAAACCTATTCTGTTTCTCTCCAATTTTTAGTGCTGTCCCACCCAAATTACTTTGTATATATTTGTATTTATTAACTATATACATATATATGTATAAGTACATGTATGTACACACATATGCGCAAGTCTCCCTCACTAGATTGACCGCCTTGGGAAATGTCTAGTTAGAGAGTGTGGTATGGATGATGTTACAGCAAAGGATGCAGAGAAGGAATGGCCAAGTAGGGGGAAAGCCAGGAGAGAATAAGCTGGAGTCAGATTATAAAAGTGCTTTAAATGTGAGACAGGAATGTGTCTTTTATCATAAAGGCAATATCAAGCCACTGGAAATTATAAAGAGGGAAAAGACATGGTCAGACTGCTGGTTTAGGAATACCACTTCGGCAGCTGTATAGAGAGACGGTGGTTCAGAGAGGGAAGAAATTTGAGTCAGAGTCTAATTAGGAGGTTGTTGCAATAATCCAAGTAAATCTTGAGGGCTTGAATGAAAATGTAGCTATGTGAATGGAAAAAAGTAGATGCTTGTGAGAGATGTTGTAGAGGCTAAATCAGTTTTACTTGTCAGCTAATTGGAGGGAAAGTGAAGAATTAAAAGTAACCCCTAGGCCAGGGGTGGGAGCATGGGGCCTCAAGGCCACAAGTGGCCCTCTAGGTCCTCGGTCTGTGGCCTTTGACTTGTGTCCAAGTTTTACAAAACAGATGCTTTTATTATTTATTATCTTCAAAGAGACGATAATTGAATCCAAGGGAACAGAGGTCACCAATTGAGAGTACAGAGATAGAAGTGGGCTTGGGACAAAAATGGGGAATAACAAAAGTCTCAAGTGAAAAGAACTAACTCAATTAATAAGAAAACTTATGAAAAATAATACTGACTGATTTTTGGACACCTTATAAAAATCTGTAAGTATTTTATCCTTTATACCTAAGCGTGAGAAATATAAAATAGAGAAATTTAGTGCCTTGGAGAAATAGGCTAAAGATATAGACCAAGAAAAGCCCCTCCTACCTCCAAAAAGAATATGAAACTTTAAATAGATGTGACCATAAGTGACTTAGATATCTTTCTTTAAGGTATCCTTTAGCTTATTTTGGGTAGTTTAATGGTGATATTCTTTCACATTATTTGGGATAAAATAGTATGTGAACTTGGGTTTGGTAATTTATGCATTAGAGTCTGTTTTTAGTCTGAGGTCATATTAGATGAATTATAGGGATAGGGAATGAACTTGTGATTTCATTGGCATACAGAATTCCTGGAATGGAAAACTCTTTAATGATGTCGGTCAGCACATTCTTTGCAATTTATAGTTAACTAAAGAACTGTGAGGTTGTGATTTACCTAAGATCACACAAGCATTATGTATCAAAGGTAGGGCTTAAACCCGTCTTCCTAGTTCTGAGGGTAGCCCTCTTCTCACCTCGCTACCTATTATAAAGTATTATAAATTTAAGAGATAGGATGTTTGAATTTACATTCTTGTTTGGCTTTCTCATTTTACCCTAGAATTGTACAGAATGAATAATATCATTCCCATTTACAGATGAAAAACCTGAAGCTCAGCGAGATTAATTTGCTCAGTCATTTAGGTAGTCCTTCTCACCTCAGAAGGGGAGGTGGTGTTACATTTCCTCATCTCTTCTCCCAGCTAGTATCGGTCATTATGATTACACAGTTTTGGGCTTCCTTTTAGTGTTCTTTAGTCTTCTAATATTTCTCTGAATTCCTTGTATTTACTCTTATGGCATAATTATGTTGTGTTACATTTATATGTTGCCTTTTGTTTAGTAATTCTCTCATCAGTGGGTACTCACTGGGTTTATAACTGCTTTTATAAAAGTGCTGTTTTGATGATTTTCATATATGTGGTAGAGAATAGGCTTTTCCAGAGAAAAGCATTTAAAACAAGTCCCATCAAAATTTGACTTTCAGTGCAATGCGTGTATTACTATCCAAACTGCCAAGACCATGGATTGTGGATGAGAAGAAAGATGATGGTTACACTGCCTTGCATCTAGCTGCACTTAATAATCACGTAGAAGTGGCCGAACTCTTGGTGCATCAGGTAAAGTATACAACATAAGATTTACAGCTAGGTAGTGCAATGGATAGAGCTCTGGGTCTGGAGTCAGCAAACCAGAGTTCAAATTCACCTTTGAGCTTAGTCCAATGAGATAAGTGCTCCAATATAGTCATAAACTTTCATCACGAAATTCCGTTAGCACTTTTCATTATGTAAATTGTAAGTAGGTCATAATAATAGATAGTATTTATGTAGCTCTTTAAGTTTTGCAAAGCACTTTACAAATATCATCTCATTTTATCCTCAAGAAACCCTGGTGGGTAGGTGCTTGTGGTAGGCCTGGCTCTAGCACTGTTAATTCAATTTTTGATGTTGGGAAAAAATGAGGCACTCTGAGAGTCACTGAACATTTAACAGACACAGTTGACTTTGACCTAACTCCAGTAAGAATATGCAACAAAGATAGCTTCTCTGGATGAGATCTCCCTCGTGTCTCTTTGGAAACTCATCTGGTCATTAAGTCATCGGAGTATGGTGACTCATGTGGTCTCAGACACTTACCGAGTCTGAAGAGCCCAGACTACATGCAGCTTGACCAGAAAGCTGTGTGGTGGAGAGAAAGCTGGATCGGAGAAGCTAGGGCTGAAAGAATTTGTGTCAGGAAATTGTTGGTCTTATCAAAGTGCCATTATTATCCTCATTTTACAGATGAGGAAATTGAGGTGGGCAGAAGTTAAGTGACTTGCTCAAGGTCACACAGCTTGTGTCTGAGGCTGTATTTGAACTCAGAACTCTCTGATAATAAAAATTTATTAGATAACTACTTTATATTTAACATTGTGTTTATAATAATAAGTGGAAGACAGCTTCTGCCCTCAGGAAACTTACACCATACTGGAAAGGGAGTAAGACTAATGTGAAAAAACACAGTATCACATCAGAAAAGAGAGTAGATAAGATGTGAATCTGTGCTAGGTTTTCTAGGCTCATTCTAAGTTTCTGGTATACTAGTATGACCTGAAGTTCCAACTATTGGAGATGGTCAGTAAAATTCATTTGTAATGGAAACAACTAGAAAATTCAGATCACTTAGAATGTATGCATACTTCTTGAGGGCAGGTTTAGCACTATTCCTGGCACATAATACATCCCTGTTGATTGACAACCAGTTTTTTTTT